CCCCAAAACCCCAAAACCCCAAAACCCCGTCAAGTAGAGATATATAATTTAGCAACAAATAATTTTAATTATAAATATCTAATATAAGTATGGAATAGCAGTAAGTTGATCTTAGGAAAAACATTGAAGGCAACATTACATTATTACAGGTCAATGATAAAAATGGTATCCTTTCTTTTGAATTTTAAATGCCTTCAAAATAATACAGAGAGCACTAAGAAGCTAGGGTAAAAAATAGTCATCTTATAGTAGTTCTTGATGCAAGTCAAGATATGGATCAAGCTCAATTTTAAGTGATTAAAGAGAAGCTAAAGGTCTTCTTGAAATTTTACTAGAAAGAAAATCCAGATAAACCTAATCCTCATTTACTTATCTGCAACGATGAAATGACTATTGTTAGAGACCAGTATGAAGTTGCATTAGATAAAACTTAATTAAAGAGTAATTTAAATATTCTGATACCCTTAAGATACATCTAAGAAGAATCTAATAAAATAGCAAATAGAGAATTAAACTTAGTGTTTATCTTATAATCATTGAACTATTTAGATGATAAGACAAAAGCTTTAATTGAGAAAATCTCAATCAATAATAAAAATAACTTCAAGTATTGCACTGTTTCGCTTCTAATTATTTCAGATGATTGCTCTGATGAATCTAATTTAGATATACTGCAGATGGGCACTCATCAAGGCAAATTTATAGTAGTAACAGATATAATTTCTAAGTTATACCATGATGACATTGTATACAAGGACTTGTTTTATTAAAAACTAAATAAATTTATGCTAGAAGCCTTATATAATACCCGTGTGAAAAATGGATTTTTAATAAGATTTGGACTAATTTAGGTATATCTAGACTATATTGTAGAAGGTATTGAATGCTACAAATGCTTAAAAAAAGGAGTAGCGATTTCCTGTAAAGATTTGGATTTTGTGCAAGGAGATGATATTATTTAAAAGTTAAAAAACACTCTGAATAATTTTTCAAAGCCATTTAAATCTATTAGTTGCATTTTAAAAGGAACAGTTGCACATGATCTCTCCAGTATATATATTGATATTTTTGAAATGAATTCATTTAAATCTCCATAGAGGATAGAATAAAATATTTCGTAAATCATTCGCTAGTTACAATAAAAAGCAAACTAGAATGAATCAGCATATCTAAAATATTGGTGATTTGAGGCAAATTATTTGATAGAAGAGTTACAAAAAATAATGGATATCGTCTGTAGAAATTTGAAAAGTTAAGTATTAGACTCAGAAAACTGGATCGAACTTCAAATATTATAGAACGAATTAAAAATAAGGAGTTAAAGATTAAATGAAAGGATATATATAGATGATATAAGAATGGATTTCATTCTTCCTACAGTTTAAATTTACTAAACACTTTTTGCATAGTAAGGAAGTGGAGGCTAACAGACGTTATAAGTTATTTATAGAAAAAGTACAAAATAGAAATATTAGAAATTCATTGATTGCATTACTAAGCATATGAAAACAGGTAATTAATAACTGCATATTGAAGAAATATATACATCGAATGATACAAAAGAGTGTATTATATCAGTAAATCTAGTTAGTATGGACAAAAACTTTATTGAAGAGCTTAAAAAATAAAAATAGAAAAATAGTGGAAAAAATGGGAATGGGGAATAAAAAAGTGATAAGTAAAAAATTTATGTTAAAAAGATATCTTAAAAATAAATAGAAGTAGAAAAGAATGATCTTAAGAAAGAAATTAACTAAAAAGATTAAGCGATAAAACTAAAAGCTGACAGATAATAAAAATTTGATTAGCCTGATGAAGAAGAAAAGCGGATACCTGCATAAATTAAATAAATGGAAGATGAATATTAAATTGAAAACTCTGAGAATATGTCTAATTAAATTAAGGAACTTTAGTAGGCATTTAATCATTAAGAGAATGATTATCCTAACAAATCATTGATATACAATTATAACTTTGACTCATTATATTAATAGGAAAGAAAAACTGAACCTTGTCTCTAATGCTAAAATAATTTGAAGTAGGTATAAGTGATTTAAGAAGAAATATAAAGAATAAGTTTGTAAGAGATAGAAAATGCAAAGCTTATCAATTAAAAAGATCAACTTAATTTAGAATTAAAGAAATAACTGGATGATTTGCTACTAAGATTAAGAAAAATGGAAGAAATAAAAATAGAGGATCAGATCATACCTAGTATTAGCTTGTGCGAAGATAAAAAATCATAGTATAGACAAGATCATAAATAAAAGCAATAATAAATCATGAAAATTGAAAGGATTGGTAGATAATAGAAAGATTAGTAAGAAAATAACTAATCTGATATCGATTTAGAGAGTTAAAAAAGTGATTGGACTTATGAAAAGCCTAAAGTAAATCCTAAGCTTGATTTGGTGAATGAAAAGTATGGAAGATTAGATATTTATAAGAAGACACCCTAAGATTAGTTTGTGACTGATGATTATGAGACAAGAAATTTGTCAACTAGACTGGCTAAAATAATTTCAGCAGAGAATAAATAGCTTTCAAGATATATTTGTAGAAACAAAAAATAAGTCTAGATAGTAAGGGATTGCTTAAAAGAATTCAAAAATAAGAATCAAGAAAGTGGAAAGCTGATTAAAAAAGAAAATAAGCAAGTTAGCATTGTTGATGGTCAATATAGGGGGTATTTGACTATATTTACCTTCTCAAATAAATGAAGCATCATAATTTAAGGAAAGATAAATCTATTTAATAAGATATCATGATTTGCCATAAATTTGGAATATTATCCGTATGGGGTTTTGGGGTTTTGGGGTTTTGGGG